AGATGGGTCATTTCTAGCTATAGCCACTATCATTTTGCACTTTTTGCAAGGTCCATTGTGGCTAAAAAGCTGGAGAATTAAAACTTCTGTCACATCTGGAACAGTTACCAATGTAGTCTTGGGCAGCTCAGCCTCCTGACTGTCTCTGAACCTTAGGAGTGCCTCTGGCCAAGAACAGCAGACTCACTCCGCCTCCTTCTTTGGCTGGCAATTACACTTACCTCACAGTCTATTTTATCTGAAATGAATATCACCACTCTTGCTCTTTTGGGATTGTCACTAGCTTGAGATTTCCCCCCCTCAACCTTTGGTTTTTTGGGGTCTTGTTTTGTACATGTGTCTAAGATGTTCCTCATGTAGATGACATATTGATGTCATCTATTTTCACATCTATTCTGCTACTCTACATTTAATCTATCTGCATTCAGTGGAATTACTGAGAGGTGTGATTTTGCTGTGTGTGTGTGTGTGTGTGTGTGTGTGGTGCTGCGCATTCCTTTGTTCCACACACTTTTCTGTCCTGACTTCATAGTATTTGTGGTCATTTCTTCACTGCTGTTGTTTTAGTGTTTATTGAATCATTGTGACTTCCCTTTTTTTTTTACTTTGGTGAGATTATTCATTTTCTTTGAGGTTCTCGTTTATATTATCAATTTATTCCTAAGTTTAAAACAGTCTTGAAATCTACCTGCCTTCCTCTCCATCTGAAAGTTCTATAACTACACTCTCAAACAAACAAACAAACAAACAAACAAACAAACAAACAAACAAACTCACTGCCATCAAGTCAATTCGGACTCACCGTGACCCTATGGGACAGGGTAGAGCTTCTCCTGTGGGCTAGAATGCCTCATCTTTTTTCCCCCTGGGGAGCAGCTGGTAGTTTTGAACTGCTGACCTTGTGGTTACCAGCCCAATGCATAACCACTACACTACCAGGGCTGTAAGTAACTACACTAGTTCCCCTTTTAACTTTATCATTGTCTTTATTCACCATTTGATCTCTCTGGTTCCCTCTTTTCAGTCTTCTAGGGTTGTTTTAAAAGATCTAGTAGTATAGTGGGGTATCCATTGAGCAGCTAACCAAACGGTCAGCAGTTCGAGCCCACCAGCCACTTTGTTGGAGTAAGATGAGGCAGTCTAGTCCTATAGAGATTTAAGATGTGAGAAATCCAAAGTGGATAGTTCTACTCTGCCCAATATAGTTGTTATGATTCAGATGCAAGCCAATGGCAGGGAGTTTGGTGTTGAGTGAGCTTTGTTTTGCTCTGGTTACTTCTACACCTGGGTTGACTTCTGGGTGGTGTCATGTATGTGCATCTCAGGCTGTTGTCTGTCGTTGTGGGCTCTCTGTTCAATGAACTCCATTTAGTATTTTTTGTAAGATCAGTCTGGTTTTTACAAATACTTTTAATTTCTCTTTATCTAAACATCCCAATTTCACAGTTGCCATTGAGAGACAATTTTGCTGGGTGTAGGACTGTTGGTTGGTGCTTTCTTTTTTCTTTCAGAGTTTAATAGATATCACTCTGTTCCCTTCTGCCTGCATGGTTTCTGTGAAGAAATCGGGGCTTACTCTCATTGATTCTCCTTTGAAGATAATTTTTTGGGGTCTGTTTTTCTGGAGCTTCTTGCAGGTTTCTTTCCTGGGCTTTGCTTTTGGAAAGTTGATTGTTATTTAAGGAGTCCTGGTGTGTAGTAGGTTACACATTGGGCTTCAAACGGTTGATTTGAGAGATAAAAATGAAGTTATTTACTCCTGTAAAGGTTTAAAGTCTTGAAAATCCAAAGGGGCAATTCTACTTTGTCTGAGAGGGTCACTGTGAGTCAGAATCAACTCTAAAGCAGAGGGTATTATGATATGTCATGGTGAATTTATTTTGGATTCTATCCTGTTATGGATTCATTCCATCTCTTGAATGCATATCTTCTGGACTTTCATGGTGTTAGTAAAGTTTTCTTCCAAAAACTCTTTTGCAAAAATTAGTTTTATTGGTATATCATTCACATATCACATGAGGTAATCATTCAATCATAGTAAGAAATGTGCAATCATGACCACAATTGATTTCAGAATGTTTTTCTTGTGCTCATTATTCTGAGCTCCCTATGCACCCCCAATTTTCCATCAACTCTTAGAAATTGCTTTTTGTTGTCTCTTTCTGTTCTGGAAGTCCTATAGCCCATAAGTTAGGTCTCTTACTGGTGTCTCACATAATTCTTATGCTTTCTTTGGATTTTCATTTTTCCTTTGTTTTATCATTTTTCCTTTATTCTTAATGGTTAATCTGCAATATTTTTATATCATTTTATTAAGAGCTCATACAACTCTTATCACAATCCATACATCATCAATTATGTAAAGCACATTTGTACATTCATTGCCCTCATCATTCTCAAAACATTTGCTCTACACCTAAGCCCCTCCCATCAGCTCCTCATTTTTCCCCTCCCTCCCCGCTCTGCCCTCCCTCATGAACCTTTGATAATTTATAAATTATTATAATTCATAATTTGTCATATCTTGCTCTGTCTGATGTCTCCCTTCACCCACTTTTCTGTTGTCCGTCCCCCAGGGAGGAAGTTATATGTAGACCCTTGTAATCGGTTCCTCCTTTCGAACCCACCCTCCTTCTACCCTGCCAGTATCACCACTCACACCACTAGTCCTGAAATGATCATCTGCCCTGGATTCCCTGTGTTTCCAGTTCTTATCTGTACCAGT